TTCAAATGTGTGTGTAGGGCTGCACAACTATTTCATTTAACAACATATTAAAATTATATTGCAATTGTTTTTGTTATATGTGATTTAATTTTACATTTGATTTAATTATTATTATTATTATTATTATCTTTTCATGAACCACATTTGTGAAACCCTGGTCTACAGAACAAATTTAAGTAACATTTACATTTACATAATTTAAGTACCATTTACATTTAAGTAACTATTTCAGCAGAAGCCTTTAGATCAAAAGAAAACATCATTTGATTTGAGTATGTCCAAACGTCTTCAGTGCATATTTTATAAATAAATGCGTATTGCTGTGTTTTGTTGAAGAAAAACATACAGCTCCTATTCTGACGATAGATGAAATTAAATTACATAATTCAATAATTAACGATATGACATTGTTGTTGTTTACAGTATTAATTTCAGCCATGACTCATCCTTTCTGTGTGCATCGAGTGACAAGGGAACTGTGCACATATTTGCTCTGAAAGACACCAAACTGAACCGGCGTTCTGCGTAAGATTAATCATGTCACTAAAAAAAAAGATCTTGATTGTCATTTTATTGCAGTTTTCGTTGCATTCTAGGTGTTCTTTCGAAATATCCTAGTAGTTGTAGTTAGAATCACTTGGGTTTTATGTGTGGTTTCTTGTCTTCTCTAGTTTGGCGCGAGTAGGAAAGGTGGGTCCGGTCATCGGGCAGTATGTGGACAGTCAGTGGTCTCTGGCTAATTTCACGGTGCCGGCTGAGTGTGCTTGCATCTGTGCCTTTGGGAAGAACACCTCCAAAAATGTCAACTCTGTTATTGGTATGTGGGCTTTATTTCAAGACATTTGAGTGAACCATTATTGATTTGTCAGTTTCTCATTACTTGTGTCTCTCTTTAAAGCCATATGTGTTGATGGGACATTCCACAAGTACGTCTTCAGTCCTGATGGAAACTGCAACCGCGAGGCTTTCGACGTGTATCTGGACATTTGCGATGATGATGATTTCTAAAGCTGGAGATTGAGCTGTGACTAATGTAAAATAGTAGCCTCTTTAACAGTGAACTCTGCTGGTTGTTCCTCATGCTTATTTCTGTGAGATTACGTTACTGCCTTGCATAATCAAATGTACATAAAATCGGTCCGTGAGTAAATGTCTTGTTAACTTATATCTTATCACTCCACATGCAGGAGTTTCAAAGTCTGTGATCGTTTACTTGTTCTTCAGAGATACTCAACCTTTGAACACTTTTGAATGATTTCTCATCATTCTTTGTCCTGTTGGTGTCCTGTTAAGGAATAAGGTTCCTCAACCTTTAAGGAACTTTATTTATGAATCAATACAGCCTTTTGGGACTAAATATATATACAGGTGCATCTCAATAAATTAGAATGTCGTGGAAAAGTTCATTTATTTCAGTAATTCAACTCAAATTGTGAAACTCGTGTATTAAATAAATTCAATGCACACAGACTGAAGTAGTTTAAGTCTTTGGTTCTTTTAATTGTGATGATTTTGGCTCACATTTAACAAAAACCCACCAACTCACTATCTCAACAAATTAGAATACTCCATAAGACCAATAAAAAAAAACATTTTTAATGAATTGTTGGCCTTCTGGAAAGTATGTTCATTTACTGTACATCTACTCAATACTTGGTAGGGGCTCCTTTTACTTTAATTACTGCCTCAATTCGGCGTAGCATGGAGGTGATCAGTTTGTGGCACTACTGAGGTGGTATGGAAGCCCAGGTTTCTTTGACAGTGGCCTTCAGCTCATCTACATTTTTTGGTCTCTTGTTTCTCATTTTCCACTTGACAATACCCCATAGATTCTCTATGGGGTTCAGGTCTGGTGAGTTTGCTGGCCAGTCAAGCACACCAACACCATGGTCATTTAACCAACTTTTGGTGCTTTTGGCAGTGTGAGCAGGTGCCAAATCCTGCTGGAAAATGAAATCAGCATCTTCAAAAAGCTGGTCAGCAGAAGGAAGCATGAAGTGCTCCAAAATGTCTTGGTAAACGGGTGCAGTGACGTTGGTTTTCAAAAAACACAATGGACCAACACCAGCAGATGACATTGCACCCCAAATCATCACAGACTGTGGAAACTTAACACTGGACTTCAAGCAACTTGGGCTATGAGCTTCTCCACCCTTCCTCCAGACTCTAAGACCTTGGTTTCCAAATGAAATACAAAACTTGCTCTCATCTGAAAAGAGGACTTTGGACCACTGGGCAACAGTCCAGTTCTTCTTCTCCTTAGCCCAGGTAAGACGCCTCTGACGTTGTCTGTGGTTCAGGAGTAGCTTAACAAGAGGAATACGACAACTGTAGCCAAATTCCTTGACACGTCTGTGTGTGGTGGCTCTTGATGCCTTGACCCCAGCCTCAGTCCATTCCTTGTGAAGTTCACTCAAATTCTTGAATCGATTTTGCTTGACAATCCTCATAAGGCTGCAGTTCTCTCGGTTGGTTGTGCATCTTTTTCCTTCCACTCAACTTTCTGTTAACATGCTTGGATACAGCACTCTGTGAACAGCCAGCTTCTTTGACAATGAATGTTTGTGGCTTACCCTCCTTGTGAAGGGTGTCAATGATTGTCTTCTGGACAACTGTCAGATCAGCAGTCTTCCCCATGATTGTGTAGCCTAGTGAACCAAACTGAGAGACCATTTTGAAGGCTCAGGAAACCTTTGCAGGTGTTTTGAGTTGATTAGCTGATTGGCATGTCACCATATTCTAATTAGTTGAGATAGTGAATTGGTGGGTTTTTGTTAAATGTGAACCAAAATCATCACAATTAAAAGAACCAAAGACTTAAACTACTTCAATCTGTGTGCATTGAATTTATTTAATACACGAGTTTCACAATTTGAGTTGAATTACTGAAATAAATATATATATATATATATATATATACAGGTGCATCTCAATAAATTAGAATGTCATGGAAAAGTTCATTTATTTCAGTAATTCAACTCAAATTGTGAAACTCGTGTATTAAATAAATTCAATGCACACAGACTGAAGTAGTTTAAGTCTTTGGTTCTTTTAATTGTGATGATTTTGGCTCACATTTAACAAAAACCCACCAATTCACTATCTCAACAAATTAGAATATGGCGACATGCCAATCAGCTAATCAACTCAAAACACCTGCAAAGGTTTCCTGAGCCCTCAAAATGGTCTCTCAGTTGTATAAAACGTGATTATTTATATAAATAACATGTGTAAAGGTGTTAAATTTACGGTTGTGTTTGTGCTAGCTTTAACTAGCTTTTCATAGCCTTAGCACAAAACCGATATACTAAACTGATCATTTTAAAACATTAGATGGTTCTGTTGAATATTATTTTAATTTATATAAAAAAGTATTTTGAACTTTAACACTGACATTTTAAAAACTGACAGGACATTGGCAGCTGGTTAGCATGAATTGAAAGCTAACGTTGCACTGACAACAAGTATCTTTCATTGTCAATAAATGTGAAGGATTCTGTTTTTCATTAATGACACGCTTTACATTACATACAGTATGGTAGATTTGACACTTTACCACATGACTTGACATCGTGCAACCTTCTCTTTTCAACATGTCTATGTGTGTTTGGCAATCACAGCCATTGCATGTCATTTGCGGACGTTGCACACTAAATAACTTAATAATTACATATGAAAGTGACCTCACAAATGATCTTATCATTTTTTAGGCACAATTTAGCCCACAAGGATGGCTTCTCGTAAAAAGGTGCTTCTGAAGGTGATCATTCTCGGAGATTCTGGGTAAGTGTTGACCTTCTGATCCAATGATGCCTGACAGTGTTATTTAATTAGGTTCCCAGATACAAAATCTTAGATTATACAATAATCGCTCTTGTATTTGTGTGCTGCAGAGTTGGGAAGACTTCTTTGATGAATCAATATGTCAATAAGAAGTTCAGCAATCAGTATAAAGCCACCATCGGTGCAGACTTTCTTACCAAGGAGGTGATGGTGGATGACAGACTGGTGACAATGCAGGTATTTAGATAATTTTTAGGAACCATTTTTTATTTAGCATATTATATATAAATATATACATCAGGGTCACCATCGTAAATTAAAGCTAAACCCATTTTAAAAAGAAAGAAATGTCATGTAGTTGTCAAGACAGCATAATTTTTTTATTTTCAATTAGTTTAAGTACTAAAATAACTAAATAAATAAAATAAAAGCAATATAGACATTAAAAAGTACTAAAATTACTAAAACACACAAAATAACTAAAATTAAAACTTTAAAAATAAAATCTAATTCAAATTATAAATGAAAACTGTTATCAATGATACTAAAATAACACAAATAACATTTATACTAACAAAGTAATTATAAATGATTATGCATTATGCAGTGAGCAATATTTATATTTAATAATAATTTTTATTTATTAATTTTTATTTGTTTTTTTTACCTGAGGTGTTTTTTACCTCAATGTTAGTTGAGTCTTTCGAAAAATAATATTTTGTATATAATACATTTGTGTGTATTATTATTTCATGAGCATGTGTCACCCTCCTGACAACTCTCAAAAATAAAGAGTGTTTTTTTTTTTGTTTCTAAAGGAAATTTTGATTTCTAATAATATGGCCCTTTAACCTGTTAACCTGCTCCCCCCATTTTGGGACTCGCAGCTGAAAATGACCTACCTAACTTAAAATGTTAACAGTTCCTGAAAACAGTGTGCTACACACAATTTAGGTATCTTTGGAAAGAAGACACTTTAGGCTTTACTATCCATCATCCAGAGTTAATCATGCTCAAAAAGATTAAAAGTTATAGACACTGAAGTGCCTTGAAAAAAATTGTACCACACTGAATTTATTATTATTTTTTCATATAAAAATACATGAAATCAGTCCTGGACCCCACCTCACACTGATAGCTGCTCATACAGCCAATAATCACATGCTGATGGCCGGTCATATAGATTGTAATCATACAGATGGCCGGCCATTAGGGGTGGGGGAAAAAATCGATACAGCATAGTATCGCGATATTTTCCGCGGCAATACTGTAGCGATACACGAACGCCAAGTATCGATCTTTTATTATACTATTTGGTAAAATAATAAAATCAATTTCTTTACAATCCACTAGATGGTGGTGTTGAGTTTTTTTCTGGTGAGGTCAGCTGGGTCACCTTCAGCATGCAGTAAGACATAAAGATGAAACGCAAAACGAGGGAGCGCTTGAGGCTCATTATTACACACGGATGTGCTGAACTGTCCGTGACAACCATCCAAAAACACGCCACAAGACCGAAAGAGCGCGTCCCGAGTCGATCAGAGACGGTGGAGGTGTCGTGTTGGCTTGTATTTGTTGTATGACAGCAGAAGGTTGTTGAGCCGTAGTTGGGATTTCTCCTCAGAAAGTGAGTTTTTGTCATGCTAACATGCTAGGTAGTCTTCGCTAACACAGCAGAAGTGACAAGTGAAAAAATACTGAAACATTTTATGACTGAAACGCAATAAAATAATAATAATCTAAGATTTAAACGTTTTAAGAGTATAAAACGTGATTATTTATATAAATAACGTGTAAAGGTGTTAAATTTACGGTTGTGTTTGTGCTAGCTTTAACTAGCTTTTCATAGCCTTAGCACAAAACCGATATACTAAACTGATCATTTTAAAACATTAGATGGTTCTGTTGAATATTATTTTAATTTATATAAAAAAGTATTTTGAACTTTAACACTGACATTATGTCTAGTCCACCCCCACCCCGTTTGAGGAAAAATAGCCACCAAATGTAACTCTTAAAAATGTAAACAAAGGAATAACCATCCATATTACAACATTATTGTTTCGTTGGCCTAAAAGTGCTCTATGGGATGTTGTTCAGTGGACCCTTGCCTTTCTAACTAAACCGGGATTTACAGCAGTGGATGCGTTTATGACTCGTTATTACGATGAATCTGGTACGCACTGTGTTTTTATTATGCATGTTTTGATGTGTACTGCTTACACAAATTTAGCAAATACATTCCTTATAAGCTTTCCATTGAAAAACAGCGATCTATCGTCGATGCTTGAGGCTTAGACCTTTAGAATGATATATAGTTTGTCAAGATTAATTTTGTCGCTTTTCATTTAATCTATTGGTAAACATTGACACGTGCAAACAAAGAGCGTTCAGTGC